TCTGTCGTCGGCAGCTGTCCGCCCTTCTCAGCTGCCTTTGCCCCTACCCACCGCCCCCCGCTGCCTTTGCCCCTAATAGATTGGACGTCGACGCATTGTCATCCTCGTCATCTAGCTACCTCCGCCATTATCCGCCTCTCCCGGCTGTCTCTACCCCCGCCTGCTGCTCCTAGCCGCCTCCACCCTAGATAGATCGGGTGTCGACGCGTTACCATCCTCAGCTCCTCGTTCGTCACCCCCAGCCCCCAGGTGCCTCTACCCTCCTCCCCCTGCCTCTCAGTGATATATATATATATATATATATATATATATATATATATATATATATATATATAGAGAGAGAGAGAGAGAGAGATGGAGATGAGGGGGGGAGAGAGCGATGTGGTGGAGAGGCCACCGGCTGTTCGGCGTCGATAGCAGCAGAGGAAGGAGGCGTGCAGAGGAGGGGAGAAGAAGAGAAAAGACTGAAAGGTGGAACCCACTGAATTTTTATTTGTTTCTGCTGACTAGACTATCACGTGTACGGTCACGTAGAATCAAAACCGCTCTGGATTAAAGCAGGGGGTAATGTGTCCGGTATAAACAGTTCATAGTTTAAAATGTCCGGTTTTGTAATTTAGGGGGGTAATTCGTACCATCGTGATAGTTAGGGGGGAATTTAGACTTGTCCTTTTATAAATGGGTTATTTCGGCCTTTCTTTCTAAAACTTATTTCATAAGGCTTGACATCAGCAATAGCGAAGCTAGGCCCCATGATGACCCTATTGGTTGCTTGAGCTCTACTGCATGCAGTACCACAGAACCTATTAAGGGTATGTTTGGAGAACCTGTAGCTGGCAGAAGCTCCCCAAACAGTCCAAATTTTCACCCACATTCTGAGAAGCTGAAGTTGTAGAATCCAGAAAATGAACGAAAAGTCAGAAACTGTGCTTTCTAGCTTCTCCATATTATCACCAACTATTTCTCAGAATCTTAAATTCCCCCAAACATGACCTAAATGTGACGCCATGCCAATGCCAATTACGAAAAAATAAAAATGGCAAGGGTTTCCTAATCCTTGGACCCATGTGCGCTTCGTATGAACAAAAACCGATAATTATTAGACCATATCTGTTCATGTTTATTAAAAAAAAAGACATTGATGTTATCAATGATTGTACTCGTGTAAAAATCTAACATTGTGGGACATTAGTGTGATTTTTTAATGGACCAGAATAAACCGAGCCGAGCGTATTTAAATCTCTTCCTATCTTCAGCACCTCTCTATCCGTCCCTCCCTCTTGCTATCTCCGTTCCTTTCTGTCATGGCGAGCGACGGTCCACTCTCCAGTCGCGGCCACTGCCTTTAGCAAGCTATCACCATTACAACGTCTTAGGCTCCACCTCCCTGTATAAAATACGTGATGGTTTATTAATTTTAATTAAATACTAGCTAAAAATAACTTAAAATAGATTAATATGATTTTTAAAACAACTTTTGTATGAAATTTTTTTTTAAAAAATACACCATCTAGTATTTGAAAAGCGTAAAAAAAAAGGGAGAACTGGGTTGAAAAAGTGAAGAAAAGAACTCATTCTTAGACCAGAGGAGAGGGGGGCGAGCCACCACCACTCTCTAGCAGCCATTGTTCCTTTTTCTTCAAAACACGTCATGCCGAGCACGAGCAGGTACCAGGTATAAATCGAAAAATAGCCACCTTCATAAATTAAGATTGCATACAGAGATATAGAGCTAGCTCAGGACAGCATGCAAGCCGACCTCTGTTTTCAAATAGGCCGAGTTTAGTACCAAACTTTTTTTTTCAAACTTCTAAATTTTTCATCACATCAAAACTTTCTTACACACAGAAACTTCCAACTTTTCCATCACATCGTTCCAATTTCAATCAAACTTCTAATTTTGGCGTGAACTAAACACACTTTAACTATCAGTGTTAACAACGACTACCGCGTTTTCTAATACTCCAAAAGATACCCTTGACTTTGAATATCATCTTACTAAAAAATATATGTCAATTATTTTACGGTGACTTGTTTTATCATTAAAAAACCCATAAGCATGACATATATTTTTCTATATTTATACTATTTTTTAAATAACAAATGTTATGTTGAAAATAACAGCATTATCTATTGAAAACGAAAGTAGTAATTTTTTTTGCTTTGACCATTAATAACTCCTATTTAGAATGCATTGAACAAAAGTTTCAGGCCCCTTCGATTCAAATGAAAATCGTACAAATTTTGGAGGATTTTATTTCTATTGGAATTTTTCTTTATAACATTTTACATGAATGGACAATATGAATTCCTATGAAATTTTTATCCTCATTCCATGCTAGTTTCAAGGAAATTTAAGAAGAGGTTCCGTGTTTTTTCTATGATCTAATCGAACAGTCATTTCTATATTTTTCTGTGTTTTGTAATTCTCTGTTTTATTTTTATATTCCTGTCAAAAATCCTATTTATATCATGTTCCTTTATTTTCTCAATCTTGCTTTTCGAATGGGCCTTATCATTACATTCGAAATGCAATGTATTATAATTACAATATATCATCTTTTTAAGTGTTTGCATTTTCTTTTTATTTAGAAAAAAGAAGCCGACAGATTAAAGTTTGAGAACAAGTATATTTAAAAACGGACGGTGTGTTTCATTGTTATTTTTCGATCCAACTCGTCTGTACCGACTGTACGGCACGCAGAGCTGCTCGTTGAAGGGAAGGCTTTTGGCTTTTGCAGCCCAGCCGGTAGGCAGGGAGGCATGGGCGTGACTTGCTCCCCCACACGCCTCACGTGAACGAAACGGTTGGATTCCCATCGGATAATTATCCTACGTTACCTCATCGCACGCGTCTTTTTAGTTGATTACTACTCTCTTGCTGTTTGGATTCGATCAGCTACCTAGCAGCTTGGGGTAGCAGCGGCTCTCTGCATTATAAGAACATTGTTGATGTCATAGGATGATGTATATAGTCAAACCATAATATCATCGATCGATACGTGCAATATACTCCTACACAAAAATGATATCGATAGATTTGTCATCAAAAATTACTTTCATATACATACATTTTTAATATCTTTGCAAACATATGCTCCTACTTAGAAATAAAATAAAATTGTACCGGAAAGTACTATGCCGACGATGTTCAAAGTAGCAAGTACTCCAAAGGAACAGAGATACGAAAATTGCTTTCTGTTGATGCTTTTCTCGATCAGCTAACTTGCCTCATGGAAAGCAACCGGGCATGGATAATAGATTTGTTTTTTTTAAAAAAAAACACATGCATAATATGGTAGTGTTCTATAGCAGAATTATCGACTTTTGAGTGACGCTGAGGTCCTGCCATTTTGTGGTGGCAATTCATTTTTATATTTTAGAACGATATTCGGTTGGGGATTTGCAGACAACTTGAGGGAATGGTGACGTAGGACCATTTAAAAAACATGGACAACAGAAAAATCAGTTGGAACTAGGGGATGCGGCTGTGCACCTAGCCCATCAAAATTTTGGTATATTTAACACTATTTGCCGTCGTATTTGGAGGGTGCAAATTCATCTCTCGTTGACACATGAGGTTATCATTGAATATGAGCCCAGGATATCAAATCATATGCCAAACATGTTACGGGGATGGTAAATTATCAAATGGCCCCTGACTATTGCTAAGCATGTATACCGAACTTGTTTGTGCCTTTCATCTTTCCTGGATGGTGTATGCCTTTCTTCTCTTCTTCAAATGAAAGATAGAGCTCTTAACTTTATTTTTTGAAAAAGAAATGTGTAGAGATATGTAGTAGTCCCTTCATCCAAGAAAAACCAACCTCATACTAGGATGTGATTCGTTGTACTAAGAGTAATCTATATTCGTTGCATCTAGTACGAGGTTGGTTTTTTATTTTTTTACAGATGGAGTGCATGTGTGTATAGTGGCACAAATGTGGTTGATTTGTATGGTTTGTATATGTCCCGTTGTACTCTCTCTCTCTAAAAGAACACCGGAAATAGTTAGAAGCTCAGAGCACAGCGACTGAGTTGCCAAACAATTTTTGTAATGTGTTGAGTGCAGGTATGTCAGCAATGTGAAGAACACGTATAAGCGAATATTTTATAAATTATACTCCACAACGGAACAACGGCTTGTGAGGATGTGATACGACATTGTGAAGGTTGTGTTCATGTTACAGAACTTGAAATTTAGGATTACATATTTCATCTAGACTCGCACTGGTCATTGCGTCGAAATCCTACTAGTACCACATTGCGAAAAGAACGTACATACGCCGATACGCGGTCGATGCTGATTGCATTCGTGGTGGAGCATGAGCATATGTACTGCTCGTTTCAGGTTACAAAACGTTTTGATTTTGGTCAAAGTCAAACTACTTTAAGTTTGACTAATTCTATAAAAAAATAGTAATATTTACAATACCAGCATTGTTTCATTAAATCTATAATTGAATAAATTTTTATAATATATTTGTCTTGGGTTAAAAAATATTACTACTATTTTTTCTATAAAATTAGTCAAACTTATAGTAGTTTCGATTTTGACCAAAGTAAAAATATCTTATAACCTGAAACGGAAGGAGTACTAGAATTTATTATCCGATAAAAGAAAAGCAAATGTTGAAAAAAAAAAGAAAAAGGAAACAAATAATCTTACTCTTTTCTAAAGCAACGTAGCAATGCAGAGGAGAGAAAAGTAGAAAACCACACAAAGAGGATAGAGGAGAATGAGATAGAGAGCAGGGCCAAGGCGGCTTTCAGAATTCAGAATTAGCGGTGACAACTGACAAGAACTTTGCTGGGCAATAGTTTGGCTTATTTAAAATTCAGGAATAAGCCAAACAACATATTTACAAACGAAAAATAATTTGTTAACAAAACTTTTATATACGTGTTCTTAACAATCTAAAAGCAAAGACGGGAAAATATACACCAAGAAAAAAAAACCTTAAAATCAAATATAAGCATAAGAGAAAAGATGGAAAAGATGAGGTTGTTGGGCTCGTTCAGGAGGGCTGATGGGCCCAGATTATTGCCGCGCATTATTTACGTCACACATCCAAAAATACAATTTAATTTCTCTGAACTTTCAGCAACGCCCTTCTACATCAGCATTGCTTAGAGCCTTAGACCACTTGTTCAAGCTAAATACCCCTTAACTCATCCCTATCATATAAACAAATAGATTACCGTTCATCCATATTTCATCTAATTCGAACGGGGAAGTCCTTTATATGTTGCAGGTTTACTCATGGTTACTCATGCCTCCTTTATATGTTGCCGGTATACTCATGGCTACTGCTGCCAGTCACCGGAATGAAGAGTTTGTCGGCTCTGTACAAAGTGGCGAAAATCCATCGATTAAAAAACGGCAGTTTTTCTTACCATAATTTATAGAGAACTCCAGCTACAAAGGTGACTGACAAGCACCAGTTTTACCAAGGAATGTGTTGCAGACCGGCCATGGTGCCCAAACACTGGTATTTGGTAAGGTGGCTGAAACACGGTGTTACAGTCAGGTGCTCAGGGCTCCGGCAATATGTGATTGCTGTGATCCTCTCCTGTGACACTGGCACTGCCATCAGTGACACCGTTAGGAAGGCTTGCTCTGTTAGCGATAGCTGGGCTGGAATACGGGGAGTATGAAGAAGCCGCGCTACCATTGTTGTTCCTAGTTCGTCCAGCGGTACTACTTCTTGTTGTTTTTGTGCGAGCTTTGCGTCCCTGAAAGTGCAACTGTTAAAAAGAGATACAGGCAAATTGCTTCATGCAATATACATTAGGCACAACAAGGTAAAGTGGAGTAGACACATAATAATGACCCATAAATGTGACAAAAATGCTGTGCGCGCGTCTCATGAATTTATCGGCAACTGATCAACAGATAAAACTAGTTTAGGGAAGTCCAGGCACTAGATAGGATGAAAACAGAATGAAGACAATGCACAGAAGAGGTATAGAAAGAAGGGTGGAAAAAGAGAAGATCCTACAACATTTGCATTCTATAAGTGCAGAGAATTAGCACAAACACCTCCTTTGCCGTGCACATGTAGGTTGGTTAGGACAGAAATTGATAAAGGATACCCTAATAGAATAGTACCAATTTACAGTCAACCCTAATTCATGGCTCCTTCAGTAACTGAACAAGAGCATCATATCTCTAATTAATGGTTTAACATTTAGAATACATGAGAACTTGCTTGAGGTGTTAATGATATCCTATTCTACATAGGTGCCGTTATGGACTTCTCTTAAGTATGTGTTCCTCTGAATTTAATTTAAGATGACCAATTCATAATCATACCGACTGCTTGACATATCTGAGTTATTCCAGAAAAATTCCAAAATCGTGAATCCAATTGATCTAAACAAAATAGGGAGTTGTTCGGTTAGCCTGTTTGTTCCAAGTCAGCACATAAAAATGGAAGGTTTTATAATCAGAACATGAAGATTTGCAACAAACTTTAAGATCAAACATCTTCTCAATGACTCAAACAGGAGAAAGAAAGATCAAACATCAGAAAATAATTTATCAGGATAATATTCTAAAGCTGAACTGTCAAGAACAACATTGAATCAAGTGCCCAAGTGCCCAGACTTCAGATTGATGAAACAAACTTCTCAATAATCATCAATAATTGACTTAACTGAAAAATCCAGAGATAGTTTAATAATGTCCATATATTCTGGTGGATAATAAATATCGGTTTTAGTGTCAATAGATGTCTTTTGCAAATCAATCAGAACTTGAAGAAATATGTTAATACACAACTGTAATTATAGAAGTTCTGCAACAAGTTACCCCACAGTGCCATTCTACATTTGACCACAACTTAAACATTCTGATGTACAACTGCCTGAATGAGAATAAGTTGTTAAATTCCTGTGATTGAAACTAACCATTTGTCAGAAATGTCAAATGGCATAGGCCTGCACATTGTGTATATCTCACATGGAGTAAACATGACAAGCTAAAGCGTAGTTTGCAGTGCAATCAATCATTTTACTGTATGAACTTTCACATTTTAGAATGCTGTTATGGCATATAGCTTTAAATTAAACGTTTGAGACACCAGCATTTAGTGAGTGCATTATTCTGGTGAAGTATCACTGAAGTTACTGCATTCATGCAGAAGAAAGATATTCAAAATATGTTTCCACTAAGCAGTAACATTTTCCACAAAAAGAAGATAGTTATATATGGAATTAGTTAGTTAGTTGCGTGCATAAGCTATACCAACAGATAATTGGTGATTTAACTGACAGAACAAAATTGACATTTTATTACAGTTTAAGGTTTTAAACAAGTGCCACGTTAAAACAAACAAGTTATGTGGAAGCTTCACTTGATTCTTTTTTATGTGCATGCAAAGCATTATTAAGAATATCCCCAAACCAACAAGCTCTTTTGTGCACTGATGTCTTGCTTTCTCCAGGCAAAAACAATTCCAGTTTACAGATGCAGCAGCCCATTATGATCCATTGTTATCTCAATCACAAAACTGTATGAAGCAGCAGCTGGTTTGCTGTGAGTTTCAGTGAGAAGACTATACTACCATCCCCAATTCCTTTACTTTCTGAAACCAATCCCAATTCATCAGGAAAACAATTAACGAGGTGGCTTATCACATCACTCAGATCAGCACACACCAACTAAGCCTATCCATATATCCTGCATTCCTACTTGCTTAAAACAAATCAATTAAACGATCTATGAGTAGTTAGTAGCAATGAAGAACTACCATTCTGATTCTAACGAAAACGATAGCACTGAGACTTAACACGACAATATGGGCGCAGCAGCTAGCCGCAAAACTGCGGTGGCCGGTGGGTGGGATTGGGGGGAGATTACCTTGCCCATGCACTTCTCGAGGTGAGGGGCGAAGCGGCCGGCGGCGACGGGGCGTCCGCAGTTCATGCAGTCGACGAGGTCGGCGGCCACGGCGGGGAGCACCTGGCCAAATACATCGACCACCCCCTTGTTCCCTCCGCCACCGCCGACGGCGCCGCCGCCCTCCTCGGCCCCCGGGTGGTCGCGGGCGGCCCAGGCGCGGAGCTCCTCCTCCTCGGCGTCGACGCCGCGGTCGAGGCCCAGGCGCGCGATGCGGTGGCACTCGGAGGCCACGTCCACCACCGCGGTCTCGAGAAGCTCCTCGAAGCAGGCCAGCGCGAACTGCGCCACCGCAATCCCTCGGTCAGATCGCGGGAGGAGGAGGAGGAAGGCGAGGGTTGGGGTGGTGTTACCTGGGAGCGAGGGCTGACAGGGGCGTCGGTGGAAGACGACATGGCCTCCTCCGGGCCCCGATCGGGGGAAAAAAACGCGGTCGGCGGAGGCGGAGGCGATGGCGCGGCCGCTCAGGGTCGATGCAGCAGGCGAGGGCGGCTGCGTGGAGTGGTCGTCGGCTCGTCGGCGCCGGCGAAGGGAGGAGGACGGCGGCGTTGAGCTGATGCCGGCGGAGGGACGACGCGGTGGCCGCGGGGAGGAGGCGAGGGCAGCCGCAATTCAGGGTCGCCGATGCCGGGGAAGGAGAAGGCGAGGTCGGCCGGCGTCAGTCAGGCCGAGAAAATTGCCATTATACCATCTTAAAAAGGGGTTTTGCCATAATACAGTACTACCATTTTACATTTAGGATTTTCCATTATGCCAGTCTCAATGCAGAAGGTTTCACCCAAATGCCATTTTCTCACAATTCTCCATTTTCTCACATCTTTGTTGACCAAAATGCACTTAGTTAAATCAATTTAAGTAAATACCGCACAAATATTTTTACATGCAATTTTTTAAATGTAGAGTGGTGTTTTGGCGAAATCCCTTTTTACGATGGTAATTTTGTCTACGGGAAGAGTGGTTTGGAGCGAGCATATGGAAAGGAAAAAAATTATACTTCCTGCATCGTTCAACCGAAATTCCCCAAATTTAAGTGGATGGATACAAATAGTTCAAATTTCAGTCTATTGATTAGTGTCATTCGATCGAGATCCAACAGCCTATCCATCTGTTTCCATCTTGGACTGGAGGCAGGAAGAGAGGAAAGAAAGGGAGATGATTGACTCACTGGTAACAATAACTTTCTTGTTAAGCTTTGGTGTCGATGGGATGGCACTAAAATAGATTTTCTTTAAATTAGGATTTTGGGGGTTGAAGATGGTAGGAGAATGGTAGGGGGCAGGAGGCGGATTTATAGAGAAATTCGGGGTCATGAGAAAAAGACAGAAACGCGAGGTCGATGTTGGATTCAGCAACAGAGATGGGGGAGAAGACAAACAAAGAGGCCCTGAAGTTGAAGATGACACCGGAGAGGTTAGAAATGTGAAGGGGATATGGCCAACATGACAGCGTGAGCCACTAGATATGGGTGAAGAAGGGTAAGGTAGGGAATCCCGCTGGCTTGATATCACCTAGACCTACTCTCATGTAGCTCTTGGTTTCAAAGCATCAAATGTTTTCGTTTTTAGTTTCAGTAAAACCGAAAGTTATCTCCGTTACTTATTTTAGCATTTCGTTAAAACTGTAGTTACTTTATTATCAGCATGCTCTTTTATCTTCTTTCTTCACTTGCAAAAGCATTAAAGCACCTTGGAAGACAAGCCTATTGCGGCTTGGCGAAGGATCGTGGGTATGCTCGAGGATAGCAGTGTGGCAAGCTTGATGGAGGTAGCCAACGGAAAGCTTGATGAAGGCTCAACCATGGGAGAGCGTGAAGAAGGTGATGTCCACTTGCAAGCACAAGAATGACGTCGTGGTCGTGGGTGAGCTTGTGGGTGGCGTCCACAACTAATTCAAGTTAGCCACGCATAATCACGTGGGTGTCCGTCTATCCGCGTCTTGTCTACTAGGACGAGATTCAGAGCTGTCACCACCTGCCGTCTACCTCTGATAAAACCGTGGGGTACACAACAAACAAAGGTAATCTCTAACCTAGATATCATGCCTAAGTAATTAATTACTGCTCTAATATTTGCGCATGAAATTCCTTCTTTATCAATAGTCCTAGTACTAGAGCACTTAGTACGAATACTAAACAATAAACCTACAAAGATGGAAATCTATCTCACTTGGACTAAGTAATTAAATAACATAAAAAAAAGGATCCCGGATATTTACTTTATAGAAGTTTCTCCGAACTTGAAGCAGAGTGTACTGACAGCTCCAGTACTCCTCCAGAATTCCTCATAGAATGCTGCATCCACTGAGGTAGAAGTCAGAGAGAGCGCCAAACTTCCAGGCACTCCTCCAAAGCTTCCCCTCACTCTACCTATTTTCTACTAAGAAGTGACTAAGCCTACATAGGAAGAAGATAGTACCCCAAAGAGTTGTGTGTGTTGAGAGTGACTTGCGCTCCTCCTTTTATAGGGCCATATGACGGTTGTAATGGCAGTAACTGCCGAGGAACCCGGCATAACAATCATTGGGGAGCCATCAGGAGCGTACACGTGGAAGCAGATGGTGAGAGGATGCAAAGGCGGTTCGGTCGACCTCCTAGTTTGGGCGAACTTCTGGGCCACCTCCCGGCCACTCCTTCGGCTAGGAGGCTGCCTAGTGGCCCCCAACATGTTATACCTTGGTTGGGCTCAATTCTAGGTGGTTTTGTTTGACATGTGAGCCCTCCAATCTGTGTAATAGCGTCCTGATTGTTCGGAGATGTATTTTATCGCATGACGGATGTGTTTTCTGCATAAAATACCTGCATACACATATTTCACCAACACAAGTATAAATGATTAGTAATAATCCCTACTATTAAGTTGGATACCATATTTTATTTTATTATATGCAGGTACTGATAGTCTAATATTATGATTTAAGGACCGTTAACAACACCCCCACACTTAACCTTTGCTCATCCTGAGTGAAGGCTATGGACCCTACAATAGGGTTATGACTTCCTTACTTAATCATGCAAACAAATTATTCAAAGCCATGCTTGTACTTGTGGGTCTTTGTAGTGTCTACCATGCGATCCTGGGCAATTGAGAAATGGAACAATTTTGACTAGTGCAATAGTACTATGTCTACAACATACCCTTCTACCTAGGATTTGAATAAGTTAGCAATAGTACTTTTACATTTATTACCTTATTCCTCGTGGGGCTTATAACTTCTCCTCGCCTTGGGTAACTTAACCTCGCCTTGGGTAGTTGCAGAACAGAATGGATCATAGAGCACAAATCACCTTGTCTTTGTTTCAACTTTCATTCCCGCGGTTTTCGAGAATTTTTGCAATTAAAACAAAGTTCCTCAAATGATACTCTCGATCACTCAATGCGTATAATATTCCAGTATTGTCTCTTTTTACCTCTAAAAGGTTTATATGTGGAGCTCATAGTAGAGAAAAAGATATGGCAATACTCGCATCACATATATTGCAAAATAAAATAGAGGATCCAAGAACTCTTTTATTCCTAACATGGAGATGTGGTTGGTTTTTCTCCAACTATCTCTTTTTTTCATGATTGCCCAAAAATATTTATTGAGTACTCCTTTTCTCTTTTTTCTCAATTTGTTTTCTTCTCATAATGATTGAGAATATTTTCTACCCTTCTATCTCTTTTTTTTCTTCAGCCATCTCTTATTGTAGACTACTATAAGAGACATTTTGAATCACATGGTGGAGTATTTATTTGGTGGATGGAACTGTTGCTCACCCCAGTGTAGAGCTAGCACAATTATGGTAGGTCAATGGCATGTTTTTTCTAATCTCTTGTGTAGAGATCAAGCATATATGGTGGGTGCACGTGAATGGACATCTTGATCAAGAAAGCATGAAAAGAATCTCACAAGGGTCACAACCTTGTATTAGGGTTAATTATATTCCAATGTAAAAGCGGGTAGCATATGAGTATAGGCTATTGTATTAGGGTTAATTAGATTCATGCCATTATTATTTTTGCAGTTTTGAAATATACTATTACTATTCATCTATTTGGAACCATGCCACTGTAACTTCACAGCTATTTTAAATATACCACTACTTACCCCTTTGTTGCTTTTTCTAAATCTTTTGGACCATATTATCCCTAACCTCTTCATTCATCCCATACTCTCTCTCCCGTTCATCTTCTCCATGGAGCTGCAGCTCTAAGCAAAAGTAGCGGCGGTGGCAGGGCCGGTGAGGCAGTGGTGCGCCGGGCAGGTGGCATCCAACTTGGTTGCATCCATGAGGAGTACACCACTCAGCGAGTAGAGAATTTCCCCACGATTTTTTTCCTGTTTATTTATTTTTGTTTTTTCTTTGATTTCTTTCCTTACGATTTTTGCTCCTGCTCTGGTTCTTGTTTGATTCATCAGGTCGAATCTTTGTGACGGTTTTTGCTCCTGCCTTTTATATATGGGGTTGCTCTTTGATTTTTTTCCCATGTTTTTTTCTCCTGATTGAGTTCTTTGATTTATCAGGTTAAATGTTAGTGAGGAGCGCTGCACGGGAGAGTTTCCTCAAGATCCAGCCTTCCCCCCTGTTGAGGTTGTCGGCAAGGCAGGGACTATTGTCGCCAGTGAGCTTGTGGACGACAGAGGAAGAAGTTGAGCTTACGGATGGCGATGACAATGGATGGCACCAGCCCGATGCTGTTGATTCCATCACGTTCGTCACTGCCTCGCCTCAAGGTCCCCACCCCGGCCCGTCCCGCCCCCATCCTCACCACAGGAGGTGGCTGCTCCTCCCACCGTCCCCATCCTCGCGTCCTGGACGGCGTAGTTGGACGGGAGGAGGAGTGCTGCGTTGTTCAGGTGGCCGTGGTCTCCAGATCCACCAGAACTACATCGTTTGCTGCCACACCCCATGCCGTCGCTGGTGGCCTGACCACCCTGCTGCTATGACTTGAGTTGTTGCTTCTAGGAGGATAAGGGTGGGGAGAAGATGAACGGGAGAGAGGAAGAAGACAGGGGCACTTCGGTCAAAATATTTGAGAAAATACCCTAAAGGGATAAGTAGTGGCACATATTGAAAACGATGAAATTATAATGGCATGGTTCTAAATAGTTGAATAGTAATGGTATATATCAAAACCATAAAAGTTGTAATGGCATGTATCCAATTAACCCATTGTATTAAGATCATCATATGGCTCTAGTGGGAATTTATCATCATTGAGGAACTTATAAATTTTATTCTTTTCGAAAAATAAATGCTTCGGAGTTCCAGTATCACTCAGAGAAAGATCATAGCACTCTATTTCACCAGTTCATATTCAACATCAACCTAGACGTAGATCATGCTTTTTGCAACCCACAAGTTTCAAGTTCAAGGCAAAGATTTTTTACCAACAAATTAAATTCAAAAACTATAGTGAAGACTAAACTTTAAACTAAGCACTAGAGAGAAGTAAGAACAGAATAACTATTCATCATTTCAACTAGGTAAACTTAGAACATTCTTACCGCATATAGGAAAGCCAATATTTTTTATATCTTTATGTTTTATAAATGTTTATCATTTTTTCTTTTAGTAATGCAAATGCGGAAAAGTAAACAGACAAGTTACCATAGTGGGGGAGGCACTCCCCAAGATAGCTTCGTGCTTACGGTGGCGGGGATCAACTCACTGCGATATGAAGTAGACCATACAGCAACAAGAAGTGGTTGTAACAT